CTCAGGATCCTCCCCCTCTCCCTCCCTCCCTCTCTCTCTCTCTCTCTCTCTCTCTCTCTCTCTGTATCAGTTTAGTTCAGAATAGCTTTATTAGCGTGACTGTGAGATACAGTATTGCTAAAGCATCACAACAGAAGAAGTGAACAACAAAAACAGTAATGAAAACAAAATAAGATAAAAGAACCAACATTAATAACCATATTAATTATTATAATCACAATATTACAGTATTATTATTATCACTTTATAATTATAATCATACTAATTAATAAACTAATGACATTTGAAATTTTTGCAAACACAAATACGTTGTGTAATGTTGGGGGGTCAATAAAGTGGGGGTATGGAGGGTGGGGTAAGTAGAGTGGGGGTATGGAGGGTGGGGTAAGTAGAGTGGGGGATGTAGGGTGTGGGTAAGTGGAGTGGGGGTAAGTAGAGTGGGGGATGGAGGGTGGGGGTAAGTGGAGTCGGGATATGTGGGATGGGGGTCAGGAGGGTGGGGGTATGGGGGGGCTGTTACCCGCTGTCTCTCAGGCGGTGGTATGTTATGTGTTTGGCAGTGAGGGGGGGCTGTGAGCTGTGAACCCCTCTCTAAGGAATATTCATAATTTCTCCAATTCTGTACATTTTTCAAAATGTGGGATGAATTTGTTGAATTTGTTTGTGTAAATTTCCCCCGTCTGTATTTTTCACAGTGAAAGTGCAGCTCTGTCTCTCTCTGTATCTCTCTCTCTATGTGTGTACAGGTCTCTCTCTCTTATATCAAACAACCCAGTTAGTGGAGAATTAACAATAAATAAAACTAAAAAAGCCCAAACATCACATCTACAGAACCTCTAAATCTAGAGAACCTCCAAATCTACAGAACCTCCAAATCTATAGAACCTCAGAATCTACAGAACCTCCAAATCTACAGAACCTCTAACTCAACCACCAAATCTACAGAACCTCTAACTCAACCATCAAATCTACAGAACCTCCAACTCAACCATCAAATCTACAGAACCTCTAACTCAACCACCAAATCTACAGAACCTCCAACACAACCATCAAATCTACAGAACCTCTAACCCAACCACCAAATCTACAGAACCTCTAACCCAACCACCAAATCTACAGAACCTCCAACTCAACCACCAAATCTACAGAACCTTCAACTCAACCACCAAATCTACAGAACCTCTAACCCAACCACCAAATCTACAGAACCTCTAACTCAACCACCAAATCTACAGAACCTCTAAATCTACAGAACCACCAAATCTACAGAACCTCCAAATCTACAGAACCTCTAACTCAACCATCAAATCTACAGAACCTCTAACTCAACCATCAAATCTACAGAACCTCCAACTCAACCACCAAATCTACAGAACCTCTAACTCAACCACCAAATCTACAGAACCTCTAACTCAACCATCAAATCTACAGAACCTCTAACTCAACCATTAAATCTACAGAACCTCTAACTCAACCATCAAATCTACAGAACCTCTAACTCAACCACCAAATCTGCAGAACCTCTAACTCAGCCACCAAATCTACAGAACCTCTAACTCAACCATCAAGTCTAGAGAACCTCTAACTCAACCATCAAATCTAGAGAACCTCTAACTCAACCACCAAATCTACAGAACCTCCAAATCTACAGAACCTCTAACCCAACCATCAAATCTACAGAACCTCCAACTCAACCATCAAATCTAGAGAACCTCTAACCCAACCACCAAATCTACAGAACCTCTAACTCAACCATCAAATCTAGAGAACCTCTAACTCAACCACCAAATCTACAGAACCTCTAAATCTACAGAACCACCAAATCTACAGAACCTCCAAATCTACAGAACCTCTAACTCAACCACCCAATCTACAGAACCTCCAACTCAACCATCAAATCTAGAGAACCTCTAACCCAACCACCAAATCTACAGAACCTCCAACTCAACCATCAAATCTAGAGAACCTCTAACCCAACCACCAAATCTACAGAACCTCTAACTCAACCACCAAATCTACAGAACCTCTAAATCTACAGAACCACCAAATCTACAGAACCTCCAAATCTACAGAACCTCCAAATCTACAGAACCTCTAACTCAACCACCCAATCTACAGAACCTCCAACTCAACCACCAAATCTACAGAACCTCTAAATCTACAAAACCACGAAATCTACAGAACCTCCAAATCTACAGAACCTCTAACTCAACCACCAAATCTACAGAACCTCTAACTCAACCACCAAATCTACAGAACCTTCAACTCAACCAGCAATAAATAATGTGCTGGATACAAAACTGTACATAGTGATCAGCAATCAATCACAATGATAATTGATCGTGATAAATCAACAAGCCCAAAAATTCTAATAAGCAGAAATGAAACACCTTTTCATATTTATACTTTAATTTTGGTTTATCAAACGTAGTAAAGCTGAAAAAGATGGAAGGAACACACAGCAGACACTATTTGTGTCCAAATAGCTTTGAAAACATCA